ATCTATCAATCATCTATCTATCTATCTATCTATCTATCTATCTATCTATCTATCATCTCTCTCTCTATCATCTTCCATCTACCTACTAATCATCCAAGTACTTATCAATTTTTACATCTATCTCTCTGTATGAATCCATTTATGATAGATTAACATATCATTTGTTGAGGCCTATTTATCTATCATATCTGTCATCTATCACTCTATCTATATCATATATTTATCTATAATCTATTGTCTATCGTCTACCTATCCTATCTGTCATCTATTTGCCTATCTTCCATCTACCAATAATTCATGTACTTATCAATTTACATATCTATCTCCATACATATATCTATGATGAATTAATTTATATTTATCTATCTATAGATCAATCATCTATCAGCCATCATCTATCTATTGTCTATATATCATCTCTGTATCCAAACTACCTATGTTTTCTTCCTTCCTCCCTTTCCCTCCTTCCCTCTCTCATTTCCTCCCTCCTTCCCTATTGCCTGTCAACTACCTTCAGTATCTTGAGCCGCCATTCTCCTGTATGTATTTTAATGCTATAGGCAAATGCAAGCCTGATCTAGAAAGGAAACTGAGAGCATGCAGGAAGGCAACAGAATGTGCAATGACCTGTGGTTCTCGCTGTAGCTCCCTGACCTCACTCCTCTCTGCCACAGCTCTCTATGTGGAACACAGAGGAATGACATTGCCTCTTGGACACAAAAGTTAGATAAAATACACAGAAGAGTGGGATAAATTGGACTAATTGTTAGGAAAATTACATCTATATTGGAAAGTAATATATATTCATAATTCAAATTTTAAATCAAAATAAATTCCAGGTAGATAAAAATTAAGTGTAAGAGACGGGTCCATGAAATTACTAGAAGAAACCATGAAATTGTTGTTGTAGCTTTTTATTATGGCAATTTTTTATATATATAGCCAGGAGACAAATGAGTGAAAGGAGGCAAATGGGTAAAATTTACCCACAGATCTTCTTCACCTTAATTTTAACCTTAATCAGCTGCGGGTTATATTTATTTCATAGTACCTCCATCCACTTCCTAATTTAAAAAAATTTAAATTAATTCTTTGAGAATTGTATACAATATATTTTGATTGTATTCGCCCTCACTCCCCTCCCCCAATTCCTCGCAGATTCACCCATCTCCCTATCTGCCTCCCCAAATCAACTCCTTGGGTACGGGGCCATCCACTGGAGCATGATGGACCTATCAGGAGCCACAAACTTAAAGAAAACTGTCTCCCCCTCCCTCAGAAGCCATCAGCTGTTCATAGCTCCTCAATTAGGGATGGGGACTCACGAGTCCCTGATCCCCCTCCAAGCTAGAATGTTGACATAGTGCAGGTCTTACAAAGGTAACCACAGCTGCTGTGAGTTCCTGAGTGCAGCGGTCGGTTGTATCCTGAAGACACTGTTTCACTTGGTCCTTTACAACTCTGGCTCCCGCCATCTTTCCAACCCTTCTTTTAAGATATCTCTGAGCCTTGGGAGGCGATGTGATAAAGATGTCCCATTTGGGCCAGGTGCAGTGGTGCATGCCTCTAATCCCAGTATTTGGGAGGCAGAGGCAGGCAGATCTCTGTGAGTTCAAGGCCAACCTGGTCTACATGGTGAGTTCCAGGCCAGCTAGGGGCTACTGGGAGACTGTGTCTCAAGAAGACCAAAACAAAAGTTTTTAAAAAAGATGTCCCATTTGTGGTTGAGCCCTCTACTGACACTGTCTACATTTTGATCAGGTGTGAGTTTCTGTATCAAGTGATGAACAAAGACTTCTATAATATCTGAGAGCTGCATTAATCTATGGTTAGACAGATATGAATTTAGAGAGCAGTTTGACTCTATGTCCATTTATCAGAATAATAGTAGTAGGTTCATCCATGGGGCCTGTGGGATCCCCAACTATAGGTTCTTGGGATCGATTTGCAGTACCAGACATGTGTTTCTTCCTGTGGAATAGGCCTTAAAGCCAATCAGAAAGCCCATGAGAATGATTTAAAGTTACTTGAAAATATTCTTAGGATTAGAAAGATTTTAAAATGTGACATAAATTTCTTGAAATTGAGTGATAAATTTAGCCATGAATTTTGCCAAAAGTCAAATACTGACTTGACGAAAATATTTACGACTCATAATCACCGCCAAAAGGCTGATTCCTTTAAAATGTAGAAGTCTTACAAATGGAAAAGCAAAGGCCAACAAATCAATGGGATAAAATATGAATATTGCATCAAAAATACAAGTGGCTTTAAGATAGATAAAGGATACCCAGCATCATTCTTTTTAAAATTAATTAACTAGTTTTTGTTTTCTTTTTGAGACAGGGTCTTATATAGCCTAGGCTGGCCTGGAACTTACTATGTTGCTGAGTTTGACTTTGAACTTCTTATCCTCCTGCCTCCCACCTCACAAGGGCTGGGATTGTGCACGCCACCATGCCAGCTGGGATTGCGCACGCCACCATGCCAGCTAGGGGATTCATCTTCATTCTTAAGGAGAGAAATTTGCATAAGGATAGCACTGAGCTATCATTTCATATTGCTAAGACAGAGAGAGATTGAGATGTTTCCTAACATACTGCTGTGGAGGCAGAGAAGGGAGGCGCAGTTGTGGAAATGCTAGTGTAAAGTGGTTCCACTTCTAGCTAAGACTCTTGCAATATTTATCAAAGACACACACACACACACACACATACACACACATACACTTGTGCTCAGTAATTGTACCTTCAGAAAGGTATCCCATAGTCACACCTGTAAGGGAAGCAATGTTTGTTAAAACCAAGCATAGGCAAGGAATGGATGCCTTTCCCCAGGGACCCTGTAAATGCTCTCTGGTGCCAGGTCATGGAATCGAATCCTTTATTTATTATTTAGGTGTCTCGACAAGAAACAATCCACGTTCTGACCAAAAAGACAGGGGTTTTATGGTTGCCAGGACATAATCTCTTGGATACCACTGAGGACAAAGGCAAGGTCAGAACAGGGAGAAGTGTGCCAGGTGATGTAAAACCTATAGAAAACTAAAGAAAAAGCAAGCTCATGCCTGCAGGGTACCCCTGGGTCACCTGAGAGGGAAACAGCACTCTCACCCTCTGCTTTTCCTGGGAGGAAGGAGCCAGAACTCATGGGTAGAAACTGTACGCATGGCCCCCTACTACTCTTGAATTCTCCATTTGTGAGTTATCATCTAAACTTAAGTCAATTAAGTTTCAAAGACTTCTGAACATACTGTAACAAAGAGCGAAACTCCCAACAGCTTTCCTGGATTAGACGGTATGTGGATGCTTCAAGAAAAAGCCATAGGGCTTCAAGAAATAAGCGAAATGAATTTGTTGATTTGTATTGATCAAATAAGTTAGAAATTCTTAGTGCCAAGTCCTACTCTTATTCTTCAAGAAGAGTTCGAGCAATCAGCACAAAGGTTTTCTTTATAAGTGTATATTATAGTTTTAGGAGGGAAATTTTTATAGCAACAAAGAAAGTTATACAAATGCCACATGTTCTCTCATTTGTGGATTCCGGATTTGATGTAGGTGTAGCTTGTATGTGTATATATGTATGAAGGTAGACAGGATACTGAGGGCATGAGAAAGTAAAATGGGAGGAAGGAGGAAAGAAGAGCTGGGGGTGAGCATAGTCAAAGAACACGATATACTTGAATGAACATGTCTTTATGACCCATCACTGTATACAATGAATATGTCAGTAAAATTATATTAAAAATAAAACTACTTTCCCCTCCACTAGAGTTCAATCATTATGGAACAGGTATACACCCTTTCCACTCTTTTGTATGTTCAGTTTTATTTCTGTGTCAAGAGCATTACGATGTCAGGTTATGGAACACAGGTAATGAATTACTTTCTCAGGGGTCTTAATAACATTTGTAAAACATTTGCAGCCACAATTTTCAGGTTTCTTTGGGTTCGCTACCTCATTTTGATTTTTTTTTCTGCCATTTACCTAGGTGAAAGAAGAGTGTGGAGGTTAGTTAGGCACAAGAGATGCCCAGATCTGAATTCTCATCTTACCCCATCCCTATGGCCCTGCCCTGTGCTTCTCAGCTGAAATTAGAATAAATGAATTTCCTGCTTTGCGGAGACTCTGAATGAGGATCCCCGGCCACTCTCCTTGCCCCATGCATACTTTTCCAGCTTGGTTTCCCTGGGAGGACCCAGTCACCCAGGCACTTCATATTCCTTGTCGAATTGTCTTGGCCCTACGTGGGTCCTGGCAGGAAATACACAGGCCTGTATTCACTTTATTGACATAGTGCTAGTCTAATCGTACCTTATCTTTATCGTTTTCTTGAGAACCTCTCTCAAGATGGCCTGAAGTATGTAAAGCTTCTCTCATAGTGTTGACACACACCTTGGCCCTGCACAGTGTCTATAACTCCATTATTATTTGTCAGTGTGGACAGTTGGCAAGAATGTTATCATTGCTGTGTCCTATCAGGATCCCAGTGCCTCCTCTCTGAGTGCCCAGGCCTGGAGGAATCCTGTTATTTAGATATCTGGAAAATGAAACTCTTCAGCTATGCACAGGTTTACCACAAGCAAGGGACTCTGGACAACTCCTTTATTTATAGTAGCTAGGGGTCACTACCCACTCAGCCCCAGGGACAGTCCCAGATGTAAGTGGTTGGACTGGTGAATCACCCAAGTCCTGGTCTTACCCTTGAGCCTGGTTCTAGTTCTCCTTTCCCCCCACTCATGCAGCAGAGCCTGTTCTGAGCATCTTCTCAGCTGAGGGGTGTGAAGCTGGACATGGATCCTAGAGGAGGAGTGAGAGTGATGCTATATGGGTTGAATGAGAGATGTCCCTCACAGGCTTAAGTGTCTGAATATTCGGCCCCCAGCAGGTGGTGCTGTTTGGGGTGGTCATGGACTCTTGAGGAGGTGGGCCTAGTTGAAAGAATTAGGTTGTTGGGGCTAGACTAGAGTGGCCTTGAGGTTTATAGCCCAGCTCCACTTCCTGTCCAGCCCCTGCTTTCTGTTCTGACAAATGGGAGGAGGTGAGGCATTTTAGCTTCCGCAGCCATGGAACTACCTTCTGCCATGT